TAGTAGATTAGGTTTTTGCTCTCATTAGATTGGATCTTGCTTCCGGGCACCTGTTAACCCGTGGACAGACTTTGTATTATTTTTCCTTTTTGATTTTCTTTTGTTGTTTTTGTTTTGTTTTGATTCAGAGACCTTGTTCATTGTAGTTTGTTGACACTAAAAAAAACCTAGCAGTAAGAAAAAAAAACCTAGCAACAACAGACAACTAACCTAGCAGGAAGAAAGAAATATCATAACAACAAAAAGCAAACGGTCAACGGTCAACGCCATAAATCAACGTCGGAGTCAACGGTCAATGCCGGAAGTCAACGATTTTTGCCGAAAGTCAACGGTCAATGGTCATAATAATATTTAAATGATTAAAAATAATGAATTAAATAATAAAAATAAAGAATTATTATTTAAATCAAGATCTAAATCTTGTGGCTAAGAATGAGTCTCACGTCCTCACTTTAAATAAGCGGATGCATTGGAACCAATCCCTATATATATAGAGAGAGAGAGATTTAATACAAACTAAAAAATCTCACTCAAAACTAAAAAACTCACTCAAATCTAACTCGATCAATTTTTTTATTTTTAAATTAACTCTTGTTATTTTATAAATCCAAATCAAAACTAAAATAACTCATATTCAATATTCTCCCCTTAAACTCTATTTTGAGTTACAAAAATTCAACTTCAACACATATTAATTTTAAAATTAATTTCTCATCCATTCTAAAATGATTTTGAGATTTGTTTCTAAATCTTCTGTTTATCAATAATGGAATGTAAAATTAGTATTATACCAATTTTTCTTAGAAGTTTGAGTCCAAAGTTTGTACATGGTACTGCTTCATTGAAATCAACCGCCAAAGATGGCCTAGGTGGATGGCAACAGATGCTACTTAATTACAATTTTGAATTTTTAGAATATATAGATCAAATTTTATTAAATTGTAACCAACGACAAAAATGAAAAGTAGGTATATTTTGAGTATCAAAATTATTTTATTTTATTTTCAAATATTCATAATTCGGGAGAATATTTTGTAAGACGAAAACTGGAGAATTTTTCAGTCTTCAAATATCATTAATATTCCTTTGTTTCAATGGAGCGCCTGCTTGGATATAAAAAATTTTGGATTTGTTTGGATTTTTTTGGTTTGGTTTGGTTAATTTTGAAAAAGGTGGTATGATTAGTTGTTAGTGGTATATTAAAATAATATTTAAAATAAAATAATTAAAATTAATTTAATGTAAAAGTATGAGAGAAATGATTTGAAGTTGTGGTTAGTCAAAATTATGTGAGAGGATGAATAGTGAATTAAGGTTGATGTGATTGTAAGAATGATTGATTGATATTATTTAATTATATTAATAATATTAATATTAATCGGATTAAGTTAAAGTTAAATTAAAAAAATAATTAAATTAAAAGTGTTTGGATTTTGTGATAAATTTTTTATCCAAGCATTTAATATCACCGGAGATTTACGAGTGAATCTAGTGAAGTAATATTTCTTGTTCGTTGTCCTTATTTACTTTATTTTCACCTTCTGTATGTATCCTACTGACATCATCATTCCATTTTATAAAGTATTCTAACTTTCTTCCCTAAATTATATTTTTCCTCGGGAAAACTGTTTTTTGTTTTCTTACACGAGTAGGATGATCCCACTTTTTTTTTCTCCTAGGAAAAATACTTACCTTCGAAGAAATGATAAATATTACACATAGATATGGAGATGCCAAAAACCGGATCCGAAATCGTGAGTTCACGGTTCAAGGTTTGGTTGAACCGGAACCTGCCTGAAATTAGCACCAGACTGGTTCAATGAGTCGGCAGTCCCAGTTTAGAATCTGTCCGGATCGGCCTGGATAAAAGAATAAAAAAAATAATAAAATAAAATAAAATTCAAATTGTAACTTATAATTTTGGCGCTAGCCGCTAAACCGTAGGATTCGCTTCTGAACCGAAAATGGCTCGAACCAAACTGCAGGCCACTTCACAAACTGTGGTCAAAGGTCCGGGTCGGCTCCGAACCGTTGCCATGACTATATCAATGTCATGCCACTAAGTTAAAAAAATTATGTCAAACTAGCATAATTCATGTTAAATGAGTTAAAATGGCTAAAAAAAAAAAAGAATTAGTTGCTATATCTCTTTAGCTTTTTAATTAGGATACTTTTCAGCTTGAATTGTTTCTTGGCTTGTTGCATATATCTCTCCCGTAGGTTAATCTTTTATACTAATATATATAAGATTTATTATTATTATTATTATTATTATTATTAAATATATAATTTTTATTTTTATTCTCTATATAAGAATGAACTACCTTTTTTTCTAACATTTATTTCGGTATGAAATTATTTAATATAAAATGTAACAAATACTCTTTCTTTTATAGTATATAATGAGAAATATTTAATGTGTTAATATTATTTTATACAAAAATAAATTATTATTTTATTAGGGTGCGTGTGATTGGCTAGATAAGGCAGGACTGTCCTAATCGGACTCTGGGAAGGTCCGGATCTAGGAAGAAGAAGGTAGTCAAATGGGGAGTCGAGCAAGACTGTCCCCAAGCATAAGGGAGGCAATTTGGATGCACAATCCGAGGCGACGGATGTTTACCAGATGATTCATGACCGAATCAGTTAACTCTCTTTCTCTCATATTTTTCTCGCTCAAACAATCAGTTTTATTTTTTATTTTTTTTTTAATTTGAGTCATGCTGGAGAGTTTTTATTCTCGATGATGTCTATTATGTATTATATAACTCAAGCTAATGTTTTGTTGAATAATTGAGACATCCGAGAGCTGCTGTTGAAAACATTTCCTCAAAATTGGATGGTCAAATAATTTTATACTTTGGATACATGGTGGGGAAAGAAAATGGAGTCGTGGGAGGGGGCAAGGAAATGAGGCAAATTCAAAAAAAATAATTTTAAATAAAGGGGAGAAAAATAATTTCAAAAGAATATAATTATCAACCCTGAACTAAATAAATTAATGGGATAATTTAATCGATGGATAGTTGAAAAACAAAGAAGATTATATCACATCCAAGCCCTTATTGCAACCAAACCTTAATGTAATTTAACTAAACTTGTATCACCATTTACGAAATGAAATGTCATATATGCATTTGTAATTTTTATAATTTTTTTTATTAGTGGCCCATTTTGCTGAAATCTACAAAAATTAGTGTTATGTTTGCATCCCATTTAGCTGAAATCCACAAAAATTAGTGATATGTCATACTGTTATTTCCGTTTTAAATCATAACTTTCTCTTTCAATCCGAAGCTTTCACCCTAAAATTAGCCCAAAATCGCAATGGCTAGTCCATTAATGATAACTGTGAATGTGGCCCCTGATATGACACTGACTCATGGATGTGGAAGGGGTGGCTTGAAGCTAGAAAGTCTCTGAGTTTGGGTTGTAGATTTTTAGTGGGTAATGGGAAGTCCATAGACATATGGGACTCCACATGGATCCCTAATAATCACAGTTTCAAACCAGCATGCCCTTTTCTAGGTGACAAGTTGAGACTATCCAAGGTGGCAGACCTTCTGAAGGATGGAACTTCTGAATGGGACACAGAACTAGTGCAACAATCTTTCAATCCACATGATGCTGAATTAATTCTCAACATAAAAACCAGCAAGATGGATATCTCAGACAGATTGGTTTGGCATTACCATAAGGAAGGGAAGTTTACAGTGAAAAGTGCATACCAAACTATTCAGCAGAAAAGAAGAGAGGAAATGGGTCAGGAAGAAGGGAGTTCAAGGAGCCACAAGTTGGAAAAGATGTGGAAGCTCACCTGGAGGTTACCAATCAAGCCAAAGGTAAAAACTTTTATCTGGAGATGCTTTCATAATTGCTTAAGTACTATGTGTAACTTGGAGAGGAGAGGGATGGAGGTTGATGGAATATGTGGCTGGTGTGGAGAGGACAAAGAGGATATGGAGCATATGATGTTTAAATGTGAAAGAGCTAGGATAGTGTGGAAGCTAGCTGGGCTGGAATGGGACAGATTGCAAGGGGAGATGGTGAATTTTGGGGACTGGTGGGAAGAGATATGTAATATCAAATTGGCTGATAACAAAATAGATAGGATTTCTTTGTCCACATACATCCTGTGGTGGATGTGGAAAACCAGAAATGGTTGGATGTTTCAAAAGGAATGGATGTCTGAGAAGAAGGTGGTGGAAAAAGCAATTACAGAATGGCAGGAGTATGAGGAAATTTGCAAGGTTCAAGCTCTCAGGACCAGCAGAATCCAAGGAGTAGGGGCTGCAGTTGCTGCACTCAGTGCTAATGGAGATGCTGAATCACAAGACCTGATCAAAGCCACAGCATGGGACAATAGTGGACAAACTCAGAGGTGGACAATTTCTAGGGACAATGTTCCTTGTTCAGTGGAAGGGCAACTTTTGAGGTTGAGGCAATGGCTGCTAGAAGGCAGGGAAAAAGGATGGACAAAGGTGGAACTTTTCATTGCTGATAAAGGTCTGAGGAAGAAGATGGCTGTGAAGGAAGGCTGGGATATAGATGTAGCTATGATTGCCAATGATATATGTATGTTACTGTCCTCTTTAGATGCTTGAAAACTTGTTGATTATGGATGATTAGTTGTTGTTTAGTTTGTTGTTGTTGTTTTTTGGTTTGGTTGTATTTTGGACAATCTTGTGTTGTGTTTTAGCTGTTTTTAGTTTGGGTAGGAGTGACCTTGGTGGTCGTGGTAGGGATGCTTGTTTACAAGATCCCCTGAACTATCGTAACCCTTTGGTTACTCGTTGTGTACATGCCGAGTTTTCTTTTATAATATTTGATGTTTGGAAAAAAAAAA